CTTTCTGTGCCTTATGGGTGCTTTGGCTACTTAAATTTAACAAGTTACACCACATGATTAAAAGAAAAGAAAACTGACCTTTAAATTGAATGCACAACTAGAAGAGAGACTTTGATCTTACTATGACAATGATTGGCGTAAGCAGCAGCAGACAAAAACGACAAAAATTAAACTTGTGGACAAGGGACGAAAATTTTAATCCTCCAAAATGAGTTAAAGCATGAAAAGTACTATGCAAAGGTCCACAAGAAATGGTTTCATAAATACCCCTACTGCAATTCTGAGTTCAGAACACAATACTAAATCACGCATCATTTATATTTATTTATACAACTCAATTCAGATCTAGCATTTGCAAATCCCCATAATTCAGAAATTCGCCTATTAGGCTGAAATACGGGTTCGAAAGCAAAAATACCTGGACAGTAACGAAACAGGCAAAATGGAATCAAACAAAGGCGAAGAAGAAACTGGAAAGCTCAGCTACGCGGACTCAGCAGAAATCAGCGACGAAACAGCAAATCCACAGCTCCAGAAAGGCTGTTAGATACCCAGAACGAAAAGAAATTGAGATTCGAAATCAATTCTTCTTCAAATATCCATTGAAAATCCAAGTTTCTTTCCATTTTTAGCTTCTAATTTTTCGATTTGGGAAGCCATTTTCGAATCTGAGATTATTTTTTTTTTCGTTTATGATTTTTTTTTTGTATTTGTGGAAGGGAGATTGAGGTGGAGATGAGTGAGAGGAGTTAGGGGTGGTCAGGTTGGAAATTGGAGGAAGCGGCAGGGAGCTCCTCTTGTGAGTGTGAGCTTTTTTCGGAAATGAAGATGGGGAAGGTTAGGTCCTGGAGGTGCAGTCTGTCTCCATTTTACTGTGATTCCTTTTAGAAAAATGAAGAAGAAGCCGGGAGCTTCCAGCGCCATTGCTCACTCCTTTTAGAGAAGGGGATCTCCCATTATATTTTTCTAGGTCTAGGTCTTTTAAATGAAAGGGGAGGGGAAAACGGGTCAGGAGGGTCGGGTCAGGCGGGTTTGGGTAGGGAGATTGGGTATTGTGTTTGGGCTTGGGTAATTATTTGGGTTGATTTTGGCTTTGAAATGGCCCAATTTTACAAGACAAATCTTTTTCCAATTCCTTCTTTTACTTTTTTTTTCAAATTTTCCTTTCTTTAATTAAAATACAACAACTTAAAAATCCTAAATTACCCAAAGTGTGAAATTAAACTAATTAGATAATTATAAAACTTATAAAAGCTACTTAGTCCTAAATTAAAAGAGAAAAAAAATCAACTAAAGGAAAGAGTGTGAAAATGAAGCATTTTTTTTGAGATTTTCAATTTTTATAAAACAAGTAACTATTGGTTAATTCTAAAAATGTAAAAATAAAGCCTAAATTCCATGCGTAATATTTTTGGTATTTTTCATGATTAAAATAAAACTTAAACATGCAAAAAAAATGCAAAAAATTAATAAAATCTATAAAAATTCCTAAAAATGGTAAATAACTAAGAAAAAATCTATTTTCTTGGGATTTTATAGGAGTATTTCGTATAGGGCAAAAATCACGTGCTTACAGATCTTGTAACCCTAACTGCTCTACGACTCTCGATCTGATGATGTTGGCCGAGCTACCTGGACCAATCAACACATGTTTACCTCGTGATTTGTTGATAAGTACAGAAATTACAAGTGCATCGTTATGAGGTTGTACGATTCCCTCTGCATCCTTGTCGCTGAATGAAATGGTTCCTTCCGGGATATAATCTCGGGTGCGTTTCTCCATTGTGATCTACACTTTAGTTTGTTTTATCACAGGCCCTTGTAGGACATCTACCCCTCCAATGATCATGTTGATGATGTGTTGGGGTTCCTCTTGTTCGGTCTTTTTGTTGGCATCCCTGTTTCTGAAGTAGTTATTGGCTCGATCACTCAGAAGTTCTCACAGGTGTCCGTTATTAAATAACCGGGCAACTTCTTCTCTCAATTGTCAGCAGTCCTCGATCTTGTGGCCGGGAGTACCATGATACTTACGCTCAAGTTAGGATCTCTCAGGGTAGGATCAGACTATAACGGTTGAGGCCACTTGGTCTCCTTTATGCGCTCGATGGCAGATATGATGTTGGCTACATCGACATTGAAGTTATACTCTGATTATCTAGGAGCTTCCCTTCTCCCGAGCGGCCTATCGAAACCATTTTTTCTATCAGGCCTCGGCTATTGGGCCCTCGATCGCTTCTCCTTTTGTTCCTTGTAGAGTTACAGCCGGACCTATTTCCCCTTTGATCTACACTATATGGTTGATACAGATCTCGGACAGGCCTTGATTCATGACAAACAACTCTCTTAGGCCTCTCATCGGTTCTGATGGGATAAACGGAACCGGAAGGGGCACCGAGTTGGTCGTCCTCGACTCTGATTTTTGACTGGTAGCTGTTGTGGACGTCAGCCCATGTTATCACCGGGTATTCTACCAAGTTTCGTTTCGGCTTCTGCGAAGCCAAGGAGATTCGGGGATTGAGTCCCTGAGTAAATTCCTGAACGGCCCAATCATCCGCAATCGGAGGCAGGTCCATCCATTCCATTTGAAACCTTGACACAAACTCCCTGAGCATCTCGTTGTCCCTTTGCTTGACCTTGAAAAGGTCCAATTTTCTGGTCTCGGCCTTGATGGCCCCGGCATGACCTTTACAAAAGCATCCGCAAGCATAGCGAACGAATCAATGGAATTTGGGGGGCAAGTTATGGTACCATATCATCGCTCCTTTTGACAGAGTTTTCCCAAACTTCTTTAATAACACTGACTAGATTTCTTCATCTTCCAAGTCGTTACATTTGATGGCGCATGTGTATGTGGTCACATGCTCATTTGGATCTGTGGTTCCATTATATTTTGGAATATCAGGCATACGAAACCTCTTCAGGATTTGTTTCGGTGTCGCGCTCGGAGGGAAAGGCTTTTGAAAAAATTTCTTGGAGGCTGGGCCTTTCAATATCGGAGGCGCTCCTAGGATTTGATCAACCCAGGAATTTTATGTCTCTATCTTCTTGTCATTCGTCTCGATTTTCGTTTCACCAGATTTCACTCGTTTCCTTGATGCCTCTAGCATTTCATTACTTCAGGGTTGACATCGGACTCAGCTTCGCCCGGCCTTTTGGTGATCTGCTCATTTCTTCGGGTGTTTTACCGAGGCGGTTCGGGCTCAACTCTGCTGGGGGTGCGGCTTTGATTTTGTAGTTGCGCTATCGCCGTCTGCTGAGCTTGTAGCATTTCGAAGATCAATCGTAGACTGACCCCGTCGCCTTCGGGTGCTCCTTGAGTCGTTGGTCGGGCTCCTCCGCGAACATTATTTTCGGGGTCAGTAGGAAGGTTGGCGTTGACGGAGACCCCATTAGGATCAGTAGGGGGCACCTCATTGCTAGGCGTCAGATTATTGTTTTCGCCATGATGCCCAGACCCATACTCAGCGTTCAAGTGAGCGAACTGAGTTTGACATTTTTAAGCTGACATGAAATTGAGACCTTAAAGAACAAATGTAAAATAGAGTGTGTTATGGAGATTTGTATCAAACCACCACTATTATGCTTAGCCCCACGGTGGACGCCAAACTGTTTAGCCTTAAAATGGATAATAACTAAATTTGTACGCGATTTTAAGGATATGTAATTGATTCAACACAAGTAATCAAGAATGTTAGATAAACGAATGAAAGACAAAATGAATAATCAAAGCAATTGTAATGCTATGGCGCAGCTTGAACTTGGGTTGGACAACAGTTTTGCCCTCGATCGGACCCTCTGTTCGGAGTCAATAGAGAATGAATAACAAATAGTAAAGTAACAGTTTTGCTATAGCTAGAGAGCGGTAAAAATAAAATTATATTGTCTTGGTATGCGTGTTACCATCCATTAAACAAAAACTATCCCTTCCCCTTTATATAGTAGGAGAGTTTCACCCCTAGTACAATCCAAGAAAGGTAAAAAATCTTCTTTTTCGTTAATCACTGATCCGCTGCCGATAAGAGCCGAGATCTGTGGTGTGATATCCGATGGAATGCGGATATCACGGTCCCCTGTTGGTCGTGTGTAGTCGTTGTCGTGCTTCCCGAGGTCTTGTTCCAGGATCGAAGAAGTAATGTCTTATCAAGCTCGGTGGCGACCACTCCGTTCGGACCTCAGTACGAGGCGTTCCGGCTTCGATTCCGACTCCATATAATCATGTCTTTGCTTCGTTTGACCCACCGAAAAATCTGGTTGTAGGTTACCCCGGTTTTACCCGTATACAGAACAACCTCCAAAAGAAGTAATTATGACTCATTTTTATATTTGAAAAAAATATCAAACACATTTTTTTAAAGATCAAACAAATCTTAGAAAAAAAAAATGCCAAGTACCACACATATGACAAGAATAAAACTCCAACTTAGTTTGGGTTTTAAAGTAAATCAGGTAAAAACTGCAAAAGAATAAAAAGATAGAAAATTGTCGGCATCGCCAATTCAAACAAGTTAAAATGAAGAATAAGATGAAAAACTATTTCCCTTTGTCAGAAGACAAATTATTACAACCGACACCTTGAGAGGCAGATGCCTAACATCGATAACACCCCAAAAACCTCTATTTCGTCCCCATTGAAACTTCCTCCTTTCCCCCATCTCACTCCACTCGTACGTTGTTCACACTTGTAAACTTTATATTATGAACAAAAGGATTTAGAATATAAAGTTTATATATTGTTATAGCAATATTAAGTTATTAAAATAATACAATAATTATTATGTTTAGAGTCAACTATTTATGAAGTTTTAACGAATTTTTTGATGTAAATATTAAGTCTATGTAAAAGCAATTAAACTCACATGAACTCTAGATCCACCCCTAATTATAAATATATAGTAAAAGACTTCAAAAATACAAGTGTATTAAATTCGACTTCACTTCTTTAATTTAAACGAATTGTGTGTATATTCCACACTTATTGACTTACCATATCTTATTAAAAGAAAAAAGATTGACTTACCATATATATATAAACCATGCAGAAAAGAAAACCTATTAAACCCCCATGTTATAGTAATGTCACATAAAAAATCGCCCTCTTCAATTCAACTCAATGGCTTCTCATTTCTCCCTACCATTCCTCTCCTTCTTCCTCTTCGTCTCTCTAGTCTCTTCCTCCATTTCTCAGTCTCCTTCGCCATCTCCAAATATTCCGATTGAAATCCAAGGAGCTTGCAAAGCCTCACGCGACCCACCAACATGCGAAGCCTCAATATTAACAGACCCGTCAAATCTAACACCCGTTCAAATCATCCTTTCCGCGTTGGCCGTCTCTTCTCAAAACCTCACGAACGCTCAATTAATGGTGAAAAACCTCCTCGACACCTCCGCCGGCAACGTGAACCTCACCGTCGCCGCGAAAAATTGTCTTCTCGGATTCAACTATTCGGCTTACAGGTACAATTTAACGGCTGCCGCGTTTCCACGTGGCGAAATCAAGGACGCTCGTGCATGGATGAGCGCTGCCTTAGGTTACCAAATTGGCTGTTCGTCTAATTTGCTCAAAGTAAATGAAACAATTCAAGTCGCTAAAACGTTAGAGGTAATGAATACGTCAATTAATTTCACTACAAATGCGTTGTGGATGACGGTGAGTTATGATATTCACGGGAATGATACCGGGTTATGGGGCCCACCCAAAACCGAGCGAGACGGTTTCTGGGAACCCGGGTCCGGTTCCGGGTTTGGTTTTAAAGGTGGTGTGCCGTCGGGTTTGAACCCGAATGTGACGGTTTGTAAAGAGGGTGGTTGTGACTATAAGATGGTGCAAGAGGCGGTGAATGCAACGCCGGATAATTTGGGACCCGGGAAGTTTGTAATATGGATTAAAGCCGGGTTGTATGATGAGATAGTTCGGGTCCCGTTGGGGAAGAGGAATGTGGTTTTTTTGGGTGATGGAATGGGTAAAACCGTCATTACGGGTTCGTTGAGTGTTGGTCTAATGCCTGGAATGACCACTTATGAATCTGCTACCGTTGGTAAGTCAATTACAGTTAATTCTATTGCATTTTATCTCATTTTATTTCCTTGTTTAAAATGACAATTTTGTTTAAAGATTTAAGTCGTGTATATTGAAAATGTAAAAAAATTATACTATTAGTAACGCAATTTAATTAGCTATAATAGATAATTACTCTATTTTCCAATTTAAAATATCAGATCTGTGATGAAAAGTTATTTGTAATTGAGGATCAACTTAATCTAGTAGAGTAAAATAATTATACGGAAAGAGAGCACAAAATAAGACTCTTCTTATAATTAAGGACGGCCGGACTTATTAGAAGCAGCCAATTCGAAATACAGTTACTATTATTTTGTCTCTTTGTTATTGTCGTCCTGTGTTGTTTACATTCAACGGTGATAAGCTTTGGCTAAAATATCTCTTCCTTTCATCAATCATTCTTTTACATAAAAGAAATTTAAAACACAAAAGACTTTCTTTACAGAAATGTGGTTGCTTTTCATTTTTCATAAATGAGAAAAACCATAATTAAGAAGATGCTATCTATTAAACAAATATTTATACTACAATGCAAGTTGACCTTTTATAGAAGATTGCTTTCCTATTCTAAAGATTACCAATTAATGTTTGTAAGTATTTACTTTATCTTTCAAGTGAGTTGATGGTGTAATTTTTTTTTTCTTTTATAATTTCACTGCATAGAATTTGTACTAAAAAAGTGTTATGAAACAATAAAAGAAGAAGAAGAATATTGCAGAGAAAAGTAGGAAGAGAGAATTCTTATTGATTTTGAGACGAATAACAATAGAATAGAACCCTCTATTTATAGGAAGAGGGTGACTTAGCCACCAAGCAATGAACCCTAGAATCTCTCTAAATATAGACATTCACCATAAATACAATTCTATTTATAACACTCCCCCTTGAATGTCTATTCAACAGATAATGTGCCTCGTTAAAACATTAACTAAAATAAAACCCAGCGGGAAAAAAATTCTAGAGAAGGAAAAAGAGTATACATATCTAACAATACGCCTTTTGGTTGCCTCGTTAAAAAACTTGCAAGGAAAACCCAGTGGGACAAAACCTTGTAAGGGAAAAGAGTACAACGCGTATTAACTTCCCCTGATGAGAGCATCAATTCACATCTTTGAGCTTTCACATTCCAATCATGTGCATCATCTTCAAAAGATTTTTGGTAGAGATTTGATGAACAAATCAGCCATATTAACTTGAACAAATTTGTTTCACCTTGAAATCATCATCCCTAATAGATGTATTGTCTTCATATGATCTTTTTGGAATCGTCAGTTCAATATCTTCACATAGAGGTGAAAACTCTTGCTATCATATTATCATGCCTATAGTTATAGCAAGATACATTTGTGCACAAATTGCACTGAGGAAGTGGTACTTCAAGATTAAGAACTGTATATGTTTCAAGCAATTTAATCCTTCATGGATTGTCATATAAATTAAGTCATATAAGCCATATAATAGACTTTAGATGCATATCAAGTTTTTATGTCATGCTAGACATATAAGATATCGAAAACTGATTGCACATACCATTGACTTTATACTTTCAAGTGTTTGAACTACATGTCTTTCATATGAAACCAATTCTATTTGAATTGTATCTCTTCTATTTGGCCAATATTTTTGTGTCTGTATTCGACCGACTTAAAATTCTCATATATACTTAGCGCTTTCATAGATGTCGTCGACGAATATTTTATATCGGTTCTAACCTCCTTTTTTTTCATAAAGACATGACATAGAGGTCTCTTCATTCATATTTCCAGGTACTTGAATCTCTCTTGAGATTTAATGAAGTGTTATGTCATGTGATCTTCTCGATCACTTGCCTCCTTTATTATGATTATTTTGATCATTTGCTCATCTTCTTTATTAAGAAGTTTATTTGAAACCGCTTTGTCTATACGCTTTAACCTTACCATAGACTTTGTCCTTCTAGGACTTATTCTGATAGGAGCATTTGCATTGAGAATATAGTTACTTTCTTTGGGTCAGCAAATGCGTCTGGCATGCTTTGCAATATATTGCAAACGAATTATCATTTTATGAACTTCAAGTTCATATTATCTTATTCGAGGATCTAGATGTACAAATGATAATCCATTCCACGTAACTTTTTCTCAACTGTTTATCATGTCTCCCCCTCATGTTATAAAAACTAACTTGTTACCTCAACTTTGAGAATCCACCTTTGTGCGTTATGGTGTTAATCAAAATATACATCGCACATCAATAATAATAAGATGGAATTATTTGGTTCCTGAACCTGAACCACTTGTGAGGGGAGAAAATAATATACTTTAGTATATAACCTATATCAAACTGGTATAGATAACTTTGTTCTCATAAGCAATTGTTTAGATATTAAGTGGAGGCACTCAATAAATCATCTTGCTAAACCAACTGTAATGTAAACCAACTTATCAAGATGAACTTCTTGAATAGAAATTATGCTCAAAATTAAATTATTGAGCAAGTTACCTCGCAAAACACCATGTTGCGGGTTATTAATAATCGCACATGTAACCATCTCATAGATGCATCTTATGGTATACATGGCAGGTGAATGAGCCCATATTTCGTAAAGAACTTTCTAGTTCTTTAATATTTACTCATGTGAATTCTGTTTTATTTTTGCACATCATGCTTAAATTGATATGGCTAAACTGATTATGCCAACTGGATAAATTATCAATATTGATAAAGTCCAGGTTTACACCATGACGTGTGCAATTATCAATAAACTCCAAGTTTATTATGATATGAGTTTTTATACAATAAACTTCTCTTTATTGTGGCATTCTTTTGTTTGTGTAGTATAAACTGGAGAATAAAACGGGTAGCTTTTCACATACATATTACCCGGCTACAAGTTGTAGTAATAGAAGATATTAAATTTTTCCTTTATTTATAGTCTCAGTATGACCAACCACTTTCGCGAATACTTTATAAACTCAATAAGTTTCTTTGAGACTTGCTACAACACAACGTCTTGTTGATAATCAATTTTTTCCAAAATAGTATAATTGGCTCTTCTAAAGCTCTCAGTTAATTTTGTACTACCACATATTCATCAACATCCATATGGTGAATATTTCATTTAAAGAGAAAGTTATACCATTATGGTTATGGTCAAAATTATATGCAAGATTTGTTTCTTGCATTACCGTTGCCTTTTAATAATCACAATGCCAAAATATTTTGGCGTAATATAAGTACGTGACCAATGACCATTTATGCCATAATAATGATATTATTTTCTTATATCATCTCAAACCTCCTTCTAGAGGTGAGTGCGTGGTATATTCACTACCACTAGCACGTTCATATTCTTCCAAGAATGAATATGTATTCATAAATCAGATGTTGTCACATTCACATCATGAATTGACCATAGTCATCTGTATGTGTTTTACGAAATCTTATGTCAAATCGATGACAAACATTAACTTCATAGAGTGAAGGTTTATTTTGAGAATCCTTATTATTCTCATTACCACGATGATGACGATTATAATTTCGTCTATTACCACGTCCACATCCATTGATACCTTTATGATAATAATTTTGTCTTCTTTCAGACTTATTACATATTGGTATCACATTCTCTTAAGAGAATGAGAATGGAGCAAATTCAATGGGATGTGTTTTCACTTCTTGTGCCCATAATCATACATGAATTTAATCATGGCAAGACATAGAAATTTTACCACTTCAGGTGGTTATAATTTCTTACAAACTCCATTAGAGTTATAATCAAACTTTGTTGTCTTTGCTTGTATATAAAATCAAATTATAGAATTTCAAGAATTTAAAAGAGAAAAATAAAGTAAAATACTTACCTTAAATCCAAAATTTAATCACGAAGAAAGTTTATGGAACAATTGACAATCATTATGCTCAATCCCAAAGCTTCTACTCAATTGGTTAGAGTCTCGTGCTGATAACGTGTTATGAAACAATAAAAGGAGAAGAAGAGTATTGCAGAGAAAAGTAGGGAGAGAATTCTTATTGATTTTGAGATGGATTACAATAGAATAGAACCCTCTATTTATAGGGAGATGGTGACTTAGCCATCAAGCAATGAACCCTAGAATCTCTCTAAATATAGACATTCACCATAAATACAATTCTATTTATAACAAAAAGAAAATAGTAGCACCTTCTATTTCGTTAGTTACAGTACCTCGACAACATTTTATTAGATATAGTTGTTTGACTAAAAAATGTTAGGCCCTTTTAGTTAAACCAATTTAATAAAAAGATGTGGGGCAAATTTTAGCCAAAGATAATTAATTCTAGATCTGAGATAAATGATAGAAATGAACAAGCACAACTAAACATAAATTTTGATTACAACAGCGATTGACTCTCACAAGGTAAGAAATAGATAATTGCTCCAATAACACCAAATGATAGTGAAGAATACATAAAGGAAAAGAATCACCATGCTCAAACAAGACCGCTCTCCGTCCGTTTGATAAAATAGAATTAAAGATGCATATCGAGATTCTAAGCTCTCATCTCCTTCCTCGGTCAGGAGCCTGAGGTTTTGGGAGCTTCTTTATCTTTCTAGGGATGTATTTGTTGTTGTGTGTGTATGTGCTTCTTCTCCCTTTGTGTCACACTTTCTCATGATATTTATACCAAACACTTTCCTTACCCAGCGATCCTTAACTGGAGTATCTAAGTTCTTGGAATATCCCATAGAATATTCCTCTAGAATATCTAAGTGTTGAACTGGCCGTTCGGACCGAATTGAGTGCTCGACCTCGACCGTAGCTAAATCACTTGCCGGCATATCGCTTCCTACACGTGACTTTCGCTTGGTTGCTTCTTGGTTGCTCTTCCTTAAGTAGAATTCCTTTGATCAGATTTTGACCCATACAGTTAGTCCCTCCGCCCATAGGGGTTGCTTTTGGGCGAGCTCGATGGGCGGACTTCGCCAGTTGCACCTTTTGAGAAACTTGAGCACAT